CCATGCCAATCCTCCTCTTTTTGCTGAGGAAGACTGGCTCTGAGCTAACATCTATTGCCAATCCTCCTCCTTTTTTTCCCCAAAGCCCCAGTAGATAGTTGTATGTCATAGCTGCACATCCTTCTAGTTGCTGTATGTGGGATGTGGCCTCAGCATGGCCGGAGAAGCGGTGCCTTGGTGCGCGCCTGGGATCCAAACCCGGGCCGCCAGTAGTGGAGCGCGCACACTTAACCGCTAAGCCACCGGGGCGGCCCCAGGGTTTTTTGTTTTTTTTTTTTGAGGGGTTTTTTTTAGGGCCCTGGTGCTGCTGTTCTAAATATTTTTGGGGTATGGAAACTTTTGAGAAATAATGTGGACCTTTTCTCCAGAAAAATATTCAAATAACACACAAAGTTTTGCATCTAATTTTATTGGGGTCATGGACTATCTGAAGCTCCTCCATTGAACCCTATTAGGTCTATAAGTCTATCATCTTTTAAAGCTGGCCTGGGCCCCATATAATTCAGAGTCTGAGCTGTACTGAGAACATAATCTTTACTCCTGTGACGCCCTAGCTTATTCAGCTTCAGTGGGAGGTGTAGCTTAAGATATGATCCCTCTGCAGGTCAGTTCCTCACCCTTCAGCATGATCACCAGTCTCATTTGCTCAAGCAACACTTTGACTTTATATTTATCACACATAATTCTAAGCTTTAGAACAGTTACTTTGTGGTAAGTATAACTGTTCCCCAACTTAGAATTATATGTGATAAATATAAAGTATTCAGACTCAGCACTTATGAATTTCTAGATAAATTGCTGAGTACACTATTAAATCCTCACTTGTGGTCATCCCACAACACGTACACAGAATAAATACAATTTAGAATGCACAAAAACAAAATGCTTTTCACTGCTCAGCTTTCTGCTGCCCTTCATGCAATTGAAGCCACTTTCTCTGAGGTTACTCGTGACTCTTTAATTGCTAAATCTAATGGCCTAGAAGTCACCCTAATCAACTTCTCTGTAACACCTGACATTGTTGGTCACTGTCTCCTTTCCCCAGCTTGCATCTTTTTATGGCTTCCTCGATACTGCTTTCTCCTAATTGTCACGCTGCCCACTCCAGCCACACCTCAGCCTCCTTCTTTGTCCCATCTTCTTTATCAGGCTCGCTCCAGGATGTTCTCTTGGATTTCTTTCCATTTCAGTGTGTGCTCTCTCCCCGGGCGGACTTACCAGGACTTAATTATCACCTAAATGTGAATGGCTCCCCAGTCTTCAGCCTTACTCTCTCTTTCCAGAGCTCTAGATCTGTATTTCCAATGGGAGTACCGCACGTCTCATAGATTCCTAACTATTGAACACATCCAATAATGCCCCAAACCTGCCCTCCACTTCCATTCCTTGTATCGGTTCATGGCAGCATCATCTACCCAGTCACTAGAGTTAGAGTCACATGTCACACCTCTTTCCGTCCATCACTATGACCAGCCTGGGTTGTTCCATCAACAGACAGCATGATGTAGTGGTCAAGAGCAAGGATTCTAGAGCTGGGTTGCCAGGGTTCAAACCCAGCTCTACCACTTACTAGGTGGGTGACTTGGAACAAGATTCTTAACTGCTCTGTCTCAGTTTACTCATCTCTAAAATGAGGATAATGATAGTAGCTACTTCCTGGGGTCCCTGTGAGGATTAACTAAGCTTGTACTTGTAAAGCACTTAGAACACTGTCTGGCACAGAGTAAGTGCTACATGGGTGCTTGTTAATAAATTGGTCTTTAGTTTGTGCCCACTCTAGTCCATCCTTCACACTGCTAACAGATGTTTTTGAGGGCCTGCCAATTATTGAGTGGTCAACCAGAGGCCAGTCATTGTGCTAAGTGCGTTATATGCAGAATCTCATTTAATCCTCATAACAACCTGTTAGGGAGGTGTTATCTCCATTTGAGAGATAAAGAAACCGAGGTATTAAGAGCTAATGTACTTTGCCCAAGGTCACACAGATCATAAGTGCCAGACCTGGGATTTTAATTCAGATCTGTCTATTCCCTGAGCCAGTGTTCAAAACCAGGAAGCTATACTTTATATATATATATACTTTATGTATTGCTTTCCCAAGCCTGAGTTAGTCACTTACTCCTTTAACTTCTTCAAAGACCCTGCACTGCCTATACTGTCATAATCTATTCCTTCGCAATCTTGTTCCAACTTAACTTTACTTCCTGCAATTTCCCTCTGTGTAGACTGCCCTTTCCTCCTTCTTCCCTCTTTCCCTCCTTCTTTCTTTCCTTTGTTCCCTCAACATTTATTGAATGCCTGAATGCCAGGCACCATGCTAAATTGGAGAAAACAAGAGAAATGAGCAATTTGTCTTCAAAGAGCTCATAGTCTGACACAAATTATTATTGACAATACGTTGAGGGGAGTGCTGCAAGGGGATATGGGACCCAGACTGAGGAAGTAAGGGGAAGAGAGGGAGAGAGTCTTTGAGGAAGGAACATTTAGCTGCCTTAAAGGATATTCAGGTCAGAGAACTTGCCATTCTTTAATAATCCTGACTTCTTGCTTTTTGCCTTTGAGATTTTTTGGGTGTCTTTCTCTCTGTCAGATGGTTGTTTAAGACTGTATTTCAAAACCACCTCCTCTGGGATGCCATCCTTTCCTTCCTAGTCAGTTGGATGTTGGTTTCCTTGTACATACCTCACTTACAGCACATATCGCACTAGTCTAGCTATCGGTCTATTTGCTTGTCTTTCTGACTGGATTGTGACTTCCTCCAAGAAAAAGACACAGTCTTATTTATTTTTGAATTGTCCTTCATTTCCAAGCGGCATGACTGGCATATCATAGCGCTCAATAAAGTTTTGTTAAATGAAGAGTTATTTGCCTATTTACAAAAGAAAGTGTAAGGCAAGGGGCCCTTCTGATTCAGAGTAAAACTCTTCAGATCATCATCTACATTCACAGAACCTAGCACACAAAGTAGGTGCTCTGCAGAAAGGAGGTGTTCAGTAAATACTAAGTATTTGATAGTTCTGTCAGTGAAATATCTGATGTAATGCTAGGAAAGAGGAAACTTATTCTTAAACCTACTTGTGTAGATGAATTAAGATTTTCATGTCCAACCGAGTGTCTGGGCTCTGGATCAGGCACGAGAAAAATTAAGAATTGTTGGTTATAGAGTGAGTATTGAGGATTTCCTTTCTTCTCTGGGTTGGACCACGGTTTCAGAATCTTGTGTACAGTTAAGGCACCAAGATATGGTGCTGTTTGGAGAAGGAAACCATGGTCTACAGGAGTGGCTGCCGAGAGCCTACCATTCTAGTCCATATCTGGCTAAAGGCTCAGCAATCTCTTTTGCAGCTGCTCCTGGTTCCGTCTTCTTAGGCACATCACGCAGTCATTTCCTCTCTGTGGTTGTGCCTCCTTCCTGGGAGCATAGCCCTCTCTTTTGCCTCTCTCTTTCTCCTGGCAACATCTACCTCCAATAGAGGCGGTAGAGGGAAACTGTTATGGTGGGCAGAGGGGTATGGTGTTGAGGTGATAGTCCTTACTCCTCCTTTTCTTCTCCTTCTTTTTTTTTTGACCCTGATTACCCTTTCACCAGAGGTTGAGGATTTTGTACAACAAAAGTCAGAAAAACTCATAGCCTCTGCCTATTTTTCCATCATGCCTCATGTGTCTTCTGAGGAAATGATTGCAGAACCCCTACTGGCATGAATTGAGAGGGAGGGAAAGGGGAAAAATACATGGAGGAAAAAAAGCCAACAGTAGAGATTGATATCTCAGAATACTGTCCCCATCACAGTAGTCCCCTAACCTCTTTTGGTCTCATCAAAATTGTGAGAATTAAAGGACAGAGTACACAGAAGGGGTTTAGAATAGTGTTTGGTACATGGACAATGAGTGCTTACTAAACGTTAGCTATTATTATCCAGGGATCCTCCACTCAGGGAAGGACCTGGGTTTCTGTCCCAAATCAGGTCCTTCAGGGCAATCACTCCTACACTCATAGTGCCAAGCTGTGTGAGTGCTCTATTCTCCATGGTCCCTTTTTTTTTTTTTTTTTGTGAGGAAGATCAGCCCTGAGCTAACATCCATGCCGATCCTCCTCTTTTTTGCTGAGGAAGACTGGCCCTGGGCTAACATCTGTGCCCATCTTCCTCTACTTTATGTGGGACGCGGCCACAGCATGGCCTGACAAGCAGTGCGTCAGTGCGCGCCTGGGATCTGAACCCCGGGCTGCCAGCAACTGAGCGCGCGCACTTAACCGCTACACCGTGGGGCCGGCCCCTCCACGCTCCCTGAGGAGAGTTCTGCCTAGATGCTGGACCCATTTCTGGTCTCCTTAGGGGTGAAGTTGCTATTGTACCTCTAGGGGATTCTCTTTCCTCCCAATATTGGTTTTCCTCTCAATCCTGCTCCTAATCTCTAGGAAGCTCAGTCACAAGTCCAGTTGGTACCCTCCAGTCCTGGTTTGGGCCGGGGTGTTGTTACTGATTTTTCTGGTAGCCCATGGGACTAGATAATTACATTGACATTCAGAAGCAGCATGCAATTTTTGGCACTGATGCCTTTAATTAAATTCAACAAGTATTTATTGAGCACCTAGAGTGTGTAAAATACGGTTCCTTTAAATACATTTGGCCCTCAGCTATTTAGTCTGTTTTAGTTATTCAATTTGGATTAATGCTGATCCATCCTTAAGGGTTTTATGTAGAATAAATATTAAAACGGAAAAATATTTGCACAATTCTTTGCAAATATAAGCGTCTTGTGTGGATTATTGTTGCTACAGTATTAATTACAATAATAACACTGCTGTTTCCCAGGCAGGCGGTAGAGACCAGCTGGAAGGCCAACAGGAGCCAGACGGAAGAGGTCAGGGGAGGTGCCTCCAGCACGTCCGGCCCAGAAGGGGCGGGGCCTTAAGGAAGGAACCCAAATCCCACCCCCCTTACTCCGCCCCTTTCGTCGGTGCGGCGTAGGCGGTTACCATGGCGATTACGTCTAGAGGGCGGGGCGGGGCGGGGCTATGGAGAGGAGGAGGAAGATGGCGGGAGGGCGGCTCTGAGGAGACCTCGGCGGCGGCGGAGGAGGAGAGAAGCGCAGCGCCGCGCCGCGCCGGGGCCCATGTGGGGAGGAGTCGGAGTCGCTGTTGCCGCCGCCGCCGCCGCCTGTAACTGCTGGACCCGAGTGGGAGTGAGGAGGAAACGGCAGGATGAAGTTCGCCGAGCACCTCTCCGCGCACATCACTCCCGAGTGGAGGAAGCAGTACATCCAGTATGAGGTACCGGTGGCGGCCAGGGTGTTGGGAGAGCTCGGAGGGGCCACTCTGTCTCCAGTCCCGACCTCCACCACCACCTTCCGCTCCTGCTACCGCCCCGCGCCCCGGCGGACTTTGCCCCGGTGCCGCGGGGAGCCACTGCGGCATCCCCGCCGCGGCCGGCCCCCTCCGGGCCCCGCTGACCTTCCCCTCCCCCGCAGCCCCGCTGCCGCCGGGGTAACGGATATGCGGGCGGCGGGCCGGGAGGGAGGGCACAGCCCGGCCCGGGCTGGGGAATGGTGGTGGAGGGCGAGCCGCAGGTGGGGGAGTCGGGGTGCGAGGGCAGCCCGGGGTCGCGGCGGGTCCGTGCTAATCCCCTCCTCCCCACACACCCTGACCTCGCGTCCCCACCCTGGGCGAGCGCCCCCTCGCCAAGGTTAGGTCTTGTTTCTCTTCGCTCACCTCTCATCAAGGAATCCTTTTCTTCCGAGGTACCTTCCCTTCCGAGATAAGCCCCTCCAGTGATTTCCTTCATTCCAAAGAGCCCTTCGGCTTTCCCCCACTTGCCCACTGTTGACAAAGGCTTTGTAACAGTGTTGAAACTTGATTTAAACGTCTGTCACTTATGCAGTGGTTACAGTAGGCAAACATATTGTAATTAACTATTCTGTTTTGGTAATAAGACGGTGATTCGTCTTTTTACTGATTGCATGAAGTATACAAAGTAATGACATCTTTGGTTTGGGCTCTTCTCTTGTTTTGGTATGGAGTGAATGGGGAAGAGAAAGGAGGAAAGAGAAGAGAATTATTAAAATTTTCAGGTTTTCTTTTAAAAATTTCAGGTCTTCTTTTAGGGAGAAAAGTACTATATTGTAAACAGTGTACTTTTAAAACATAGCTGTGTATTATAGAAATTTTGCCCCCCCCTCCTAATTTCTGTGATAATAGCTCCTGGAGGGTATTTAATAGATAGCGATAAGGAACCTTACATTAATACAGAGAAAAGTAAAGATAACCCATTTATATATTCAGAAGGCAGGATACCTAAGGGGCTTTAAGCATTGCAATAGGTTATTCTCAGTAGCTGGCAGTTCAGCTCCTGGATAGAGAAAGAAAGACTTATCTGTAACCTCCAGGAATTCACATCTATTTTATGTGCAGGAACAAAGAGTATAAAATCAATATGAACACAAATATGCTAGCTAGATTTTATGAATTAAAATATTTTAGTTCTCTTTTTAATTTCTAGTTAAGTTCAGTGATAGGATGTTTAGGCAATAGCATGAGTTTATTCATATAGCTGTTGTAATAATTGAAGAAGACAGGGAAAGGGGTGTAGATGGGTGAAACAGAGAACCTTGAATATTGTAAAATAAATTCACCCTGTAACATACAGAATTTGATTATTGCCAGAAATGAAAGGCCTAGAATTATTAATGCTTTCTTGTCACTTAATTTTCTTAGAGTGTTTTGTGGCTACGTTTTGTAAGAATGAAATGAGAGACTAGCTTTTCAGCCTGTAGAATTTTTGATTTATTGTTTCTAATAACATTTGGTCAGTTTTAAAACCTTGGCTACAGTCCAGATGATGGTTTTTATTGCAAGGAGGGTATTGGTCTTTCATATTTTTAGTAGTAATTTTCAGCACCACTGCCAGTTCTTCATAGAGGCATAGAATACAGCATGCTGAAGCAACATCTTACACCTGTTATATAGTATGGAATGCTTTGATTTGGGCAGAAGTAATAGTGGCTGGTTGTATGCTATGATTCATTTTAAGTATTACAGCACTTAACTGTTTCATAGAATTGTATTAATTTGGAATATCTGGGGCTGGAAGGGGAAGCATAAGATTTAGTTTGAAAATGCAATTACCTTTTGATTTGTAGTGTCAGCTTTGTGACTGTAGTAACCACAGTAATTCTGGGACTCCTCATTCTTAGACTCCATTTGGATACTAGTCCTAAATGGTTACTTTAGGTTGGTCACAGAGGGACAAAATTCCTGAGCATATGTGTGACTGACTTATCTTTCCTGGGCCAATTATAAATTATTTTTTGAGAAATTCATTTATTGTGGATAATTGAAATTTTGTTCTGCAGAGAGTCCCTACTATGTGACTCTTGTCTTGGATAAGCTCATTGTTTGGTAGGCAAAATTAAATAAAGGACACTTTTCTTTGTGAATTGGAGCCATTAAAGACATTTTTTGTAGGGTTGGGATCTGTGTGTTGTAAATTGTTTCTCAAGAGCTAGTTCGGTTCCTTTAAAAATACTTAGGCATCAATAAGAGTATTTAGAGTCCAGGAATTTTGGCAGCTTAAAAACTTTGGGGAAAAAGGGACATCATAAAAGACCTTAGCCTTTGCTAGAGAAAAGAAGCTTCTCATAATGTGGTAACATGTAGTTTCTCATATGTGAAGATGATGCTTTTGAAACACTGTTAGTAGAACGCACTTGAATTTGTTTTTCAAGCACTCGTGGTGAAATTTTTGTGTATTACTCTTGATTTCTAGCCTAGGGTGCTTTCTAGTGCTGTGAACTACTATAAACTGTTCAGCTTCTTTGGTTTTTATGTCATTTCGCTATGTTAAATTTTAGTTGAAATAAGCAGAGCATTAGATAGAAGCTGAAAATTTTTGTTTTACATCTATAATTACATGTATTATGTATACGTGGTCACACAGTAAGTGTTAGTTCTTGTATGTTAGCTATGAGCCCCTGGGGACAATCTTTTTGCCTTTCCAGGGCTCTTTCCTCTTGCATAAAATAAGAATATAGGGCTAGAGCTTTTCAAGGTCCATTGTAGTTCATAGGTTTTTGATTTAACTTTTAATGGTTTTTATTCCTTGGATTGCTAAAATTATGAATGTTAGTGACCCATCAGTGTCCTGAAAGTTATTAGAGTTTCTAATTTAAAAATGAATTATGGAGTTCATAGACTTAGTCTTCATAGGCAGAATAATGAAGCAGAAAAGAATAGAGCAACTTGGAGAAACTGTATAAAGAAAAGCTATTTGATCCATTTGTGAATAGTTTTTATGAAGAACAAACACAAATGAGCAGAGACTATCCCTGTGTCGAGTAATCTATTTGAGTGTAAATCTTGGCATATTAAATAGAATATTAATAAATTTTTATAAGAACGCTTTTTTGATTTAGAACCAGTGATTGTATATTTTAGAGCTCTGTAATTGATTAATCAAAATTAACTTAGACCAGTTGCAACCAAATAAACTAGTATGACCATGTTAATATTTTACAGATTATTAGCAAAAGAAGCAAATATATTTGGTGCCTTAGGCTGCTGACTTGTGTTTTCTTCCCTAGGGTCCTGTGCTGCTTTGGTTTCTCGGGAACCAGGCATGGTTTTTTCAGTGTATATTGTAGTTTTGTAAGATACTAAAATAATGAGGTATCTTAATTTCAGGATTTTAGAGTTTAAAGGGAATTTAGAGATTATCTATCTTCTTGTTTTCTTCAAGCAAGGAAACTAAGGTTCCAAAGAGGTTAAGTTGGTTGTCTGGGATCATATATAGATAGCTCGTTTCTTGAGCACAGATGCATAAGCATTGGTAGTCAGGTCAGCCTGGCTGTGTGACCCTGATGAAATCACTTCCTCTTTCTGTGCTTTAGGTTCTTCATCTGTAAAATGAGAGAACTGGACTTGATGGTTTCTAAGCTTGCAGGCCTATATTTTTTGTGGACTCTTTCAGCTCTAAATTTCCATGCGTTTTTATGGTTTAATTATGTTGGATATATGAGAAGAACAGAACTTAAAAGACTATTATTAATAGCATCCTTTTAAATTAGTAGTGTCCTTTTCAAAATTTTGATGAAATTTTAATCTGTGCATGGAAAGCTAACCCAATGAAACTCTTTTATGTGACTTAAATCAGTAGAAAGTGATAGTCATGGATTAGTTTTTTGTTGCAGGATTTGGGAAAGAACAGATGCTGCATAAACTGTACATCCTTTATTTTCAAGTGTAAGGAAACATTGCCATAACATTATTGTGATTTTCATTTATAGAACTCTCCCGTGAGAACACTTGTGTTGCAGGCTTCAATTTCCCAAAGGTATTATGTTGATCAGTTAGGGTTAACTTGCCTTGCTGGAACTTGTTTGAAATTTCCAGTTTGGCCACCCGATGGGGCACAAACCACACTTTTTCTTTCAGGCACTTCTGTAAATGAAAGTACAGTATAGGATATTTAAGATAACACTTGGAAATGATTGTCAGTAAGATGCCTGGCATTTACAAATGTTTCTTAAGTGAGTGAATGAATGTTGTATAAGACAGGAAGCTATTACTGTTCTTTATTATCTTTGTGCAGTAAGGTGTGTTAGGGTGAGTATCTTGCAAAGATTATACTCATCCATGCATCCCTGAAGGTTGGTTTTGGATCAGCTTTTGGGTGAAGGCCCAGATCGTAAGAACCTTAAGAATCTTATTTGGCCTGGGGTGACTATGGAAAATTAGTCCTGGCTTCAAATCCAGTACTAATCTGGAAAGCATTTGAGAGACTGACTGAGTTGTGCTGGCTAGGGATTTCAAGTATATTTGTGTCATAGCCCCCAAAGGGGAGTACCCAAAACTCCCATGGAGTAAGAGAAGATAGTATTAGAACTGTTAGTTATGTTTATTTTTAAGCATAAGACGAGGAAGAAATAGAATTTTACTAATATTGAATAAATGGATTGATGCGGTGACCTTGTTTAGGAGGTATTCTGAGGGAAGGAGAAAGAAGGATTGCTAATAGTTTCCTCACTTGTTCACTTTCAGCAAAAACAGTTAATCCAGTTTATGGTTAAATGAATTTATGGATATTATAAGATTTTGACTAAACTAATCCTTATAAAATGGATGTGACTTAAAAAGACTCCTATAAAGAAGCCTGAAAAATAATACCAATAATGCAAGCACACGTGAACAGCAAGAAAATGGCAGAGCTGACAATTCTACTTCTAGTACTAGCTTTTTGTCAGCCAAATTACAGAAGAAAACAGTGACACTTTAATAGA